AGAGAATGATGGTGCGGATTCCTTTAAAAATTACCAGGAACTAACTTCGTAATATGCAGAAAATTCACTGAAATTTGCACAAAAATCCGCACAATCGTTTTCATCTAAAAAATTAAAATGTCCGATTAAATTTGGCAATAGCTGATGTGGCTTGGTTCCTTTCTGCTAAACGTGGTCCATTTCTGAATCGTGGATAGCACGGCTTTGGAAACTTCACCGGGAGCCAAGCTCCTAATCATGGTTTCCACGACAAATAAACGTAAGTCCATTCTAAAGTTCCAAATAAATTCAAAGGCGATTTGCGAGAAATCCGCGATCACGAACTCATGATCGCGTGGACGCTCGCACTAAAACAAAAAGTGTGGCGATTTTTACCAGAAGTAAGGTAAATTCTGGCATTGGTACACGTGATGATTACCATACTCATATCACTGCCGCTGAAACCATACATTTTTTTCTCAGTCAGTGGCGTGGCGTCGTAGCGTGCTTTGCGATATATCGATTGATCTGCCATTTAAACCTATGTAAAAGCATCAATCATCAGAGTATTCTCAACAAACACCTCACGAATCGATTCTTTCCTATGGTTTCAAATGGGGAAATATCGATTTTCGATCAATGCCTCGCCACTGATCTCAGCGTATCCTCCGAACTTCCATCACTGCCACCAAGCGACAGGACCTCAAGCCTTCTCGACACGCATAGCTCATTGCGTTGTGCGTTGATTCCTGAAATAATTCAAGGCATTCAGAGCGAAACAGCTCATATATCTCTTGTCAAAACAGGCTTTTGTTCGATGCTCCACGACTCCGACGAGGGAGGGCGCGTCAGGGGCTGGAAGAATGCCGAGGGCCGACAGTGACCAAACCAACAATTTGTTCGCCTGCCTCTCGACCTCTCGGGAACCTCTTGGATAGGTACCTCTCGGCCGGTAAGGGGAAAATGTAACAGATATGTTATTTGAAATGTAACAGGTATCCACGGCGCGGCGGCGGCGCATACCCGCGCGTATGCGGGCAGCGTCGCGCCTCGCACGCACGCTGGACGCTTTTCACCGGCGTTGCCACGTTGCAGTTTGAATATTGGTGTCTAGACTAGTTTGAATACCCCTGCACTGGAAAAAAACACATTGGATCTAGAGTCTCGACTCTTGAAAACATCGACAAGAAAAAGTACTCTTGATTCAATCAGAATCTAGCTTAAATCAAGAAGCAAGCCTCATAATTTAAGCGGATTCCCTTTTGATTCAAGCAAAAATCCAATTGAATCTGAAGTATTTTTTCTTGTCAATGTTTTCAAGAGTTTGGACTCTAGATCCAATGTGTTTTTATTTCCAGTGTGTAGGGAGAGCAGTAGAGCACGGACCTATTGCCCTATTGCCCTGATGTCTACGGACAATAAACCTATTCTGTAGATGGTTAATGGTTCCTAACGACACAGAAGCCATTAAGCCGGCCGAATAAAAATGAAAAAACAGAAGAAAAAAAATTAGTGTATTTCCTTCGGAAAATACACTAAAAATTGGGGGGGGGGTGGAGGAGTTTTTAGGGTGCTAAATAAGGGCAGGCAACCTATAAATTTAAATCATTTAGAGTGATTTCTTATTATATTGGAGAATTTGCACGCAATTTCTTTATTTTGACACCTGAAAGTTGTTAAAGAGCTGATTATGCAGTATTTTTAATACTTTTTTTCCGGTGTGGGAAATAGTACGAAAATAGATTTGAAAGTGAAAAAATGCACCGCCTGGTGACATAATTCGGCGGAATTTCCCATTATAACACATGCATTTCAGTTGATTTGCATGTCAATTTGTGAACAAAAGGATGCTCATATTCAGTTCACTAATAGTAGTTTACGCTCACTTAAACACGTTTATCAAATTTCAGACACATGCAAATTCTCCATTGTTACACGACCCGTCGTTTGTAAAGCACGTATTTAACTTGGTTTTTGCATAAATTTACTCATTTTTCGGAAGAACGCGCAATCATGAGTATTCGTGGCCATTTTGGTCTGATACTAGAATTTGAGGATTGGCAGACTTTTTTGGTTTTAAAAAGTTGGCTCTTTGGGTCATAAAAGGTCCATTTTTTGGCATATCCGTCCTCTTATACATGTACTCTAAGGCTACGAAATCGGAATCTATCAAGGAAAAATGAATGAAGCCATATCTGCATTATTAACAGCGGATGTCAAGTTTTTCGCTTACGAGAAAATAGCGCTCAGTGTTTTTAGAGCTGTGCATTTCGATGTCCACACATTGAGGAAAATTATTTATTAATCAGCTGAGATGACATCGTTGAACCAATAACAAAGAGGGAGATGCAAAGCCGTCACGATGCTCGCCTAACGGTTAAGAAAGAGAAAGAGAAAGAAAGAAAAAATGAAATGCAACTAGGTGAAGCGAGAAAATGACTGAGTAGTTGAAAAAGAGAGGTTGTCAGTCCTCATCCTGAACAAAAGGAGAGCATTTTTTGTGATGAAAAAGAGAACGTAGAATATAACTCCGGCTTTCCGTAAGCGGTTAGAGTTCCTCCAGAGACGAATGACTAGAGGGATGGTTTTGAGGGTTTGTTTCCCCTCACCCCTTTCAAATCGAATGTTTTTCCGGGAATAAGTCATAGTAAGTACAATTTGTATATTGACTAGGAAACTGTCGATCTTCCCTGACTGAAAATGTCACTAATTTTTCTTCTCATCGCACGCAAGCATTAGTGAAATTTTGAATGGAAATCGCAAGGTCATATTCTTGTAAAAACGAAGATGCAGTGAGTTTTTGGTCTCTTCATTCTACGAACTGACTGATCCATTTTTCGAACTGATTTCCCGTCAAAAAAATTCCTGTCCCCAAAAATTTTCCAGAGCTGTGGCCCCTTCCTTGTCTTCAATTTACAAATTTTCACAATTCTACGAATAATATACAAATTTCTTCGCTATTTTCGTATGAACACGCGAATCTGGCTATACCGTAGTTTCCACAGTTTTTCCATTTTTCCGCCGCACATGCGTTTAAATGGGAAATGCCGCCAGATGACGTCACAAGGCGGTACATTTTCTCATTTCTAAATCGATTATTCTACATTTTCCCATATCAGAGGAAAATCATGAAAAATAATGTGAACTAAGTTCTTTAAGCACTTAATGCAGTGCAATTTTTTTGTACAGATTCTCGATTGATATTGTCCGGGTTTTCAAGTTTTTAATGATAGTAGAAACCCTGTTCCAGTTAGAAATTCCAGAGATTCTTCTCTCAAAAATGATATTTGCGCTAGGAAAATGAACAACAATGAAATGCGGTCACGTGCTATCGTGAAGGAAACGCCGTATTTCCAAACGGGGTTCTGCCTTCACACAGTAGCATGCACTGGAAAAAAAAACACATTGGAGCTAGAGTCCAGACTCTTAAAAACATCGAAAAGAAAAAGCACTCTTGGTTCAATCAGAATCTAGCTTGAATCAAGAGCCAAGTCTCTTAATTTAAGCGGATTTCGTTTTGATTCAAGCAAAAATCCGATTGAATCAAGGGTATTTTTCTTGTCGATGCTTACAAGAGTCTGGACTCTAGATCAAATGTGTTTTTTTCCAGTGCAATTTCATTTTTTACAAGAAAACGGTTGTGTAAATTTGTATCCAAATTTCAGTGAATTTTCCGCATGGTACGAAGCAGATTCCTCAAAATTTAAAAAAAAAATCCGATTGAATTAAGAGTATTTTTCTTGTCAATGCTTTCAAGAGTCTAGACTCTAGATCCAATGTGTTTTTTTTTCCAGTGGGGGTTCTTCCTCAACACAGAAGCATGGCTTAGCAGCTACATCCGAGGGGGATGTAACTGATGTAAGATCCAAGAGCGCGCGCTTCCCGCTACGGAGCCACCTGATAGCTCGACCGGAAATGATGGACTGCTTCGAGCTTGCTTAACGAAAAGCGATTAAGCTCCGATTAAAACACGGTGCGGATACGCTGTTTTCGCTGAAGGCGGCGGTCGGCGGACGGACAGGTTGCGGGTCCCCCGGCCCGGCGGAGACAGGTGAGCGCCACGGTTTCGTTCCCGGGCTTTTCGGTCGCGTGCGAGGTGTCGGCTGCCGCTTCAGGGGGCTGATTACTGGCATTGATAGACAAAGCGGTGGACAAAGAAGACTTAATGGGAAATCGAAGAGATCCCGGGGGCTAAGCAAGCTCAAAGCCTCATTCCGCCGAAGTCGATCCAAATTACCCCATATTAAACAAAAATTCCTGACCAGCGGATACGAAAGATGCGCGTTTGCTTCAACATGGGCAAAAACGCGTGACTGAAACGGTGGAAATTACAGTGGTCGGCATTTTAGACGCTTAGGCATACGGACCATCAATGGAAGTTAGAAAATGTGAAGTTATGGACATTTTTTGAGCTTTTACGCGGCTACTATCGCCGGTGTGATCACACCGCGAAAAATGAGTTTCTTGCGCCTTGCGTTTATCCTCTGGACAACTTTTTGTGGATTTTGCAAATAAAAGTGCTTGTCGTATCTTTCACCTTTATTGTATTTCGATCGATAATATACGGCGAGAACAAACCAAAATTTCTTCTAAGAATTTTCAATTTCTAGACGTATTCTCGGGGACCCCTTTGATAAGGCGCCCTTGGTGTTTTTAACGTCTGGACGCACACTGGAAAAAAAAAACACATTGGATCTAGAGCCCAGACACTTAAAAACATCGACAAGAAAAAATACTCTTGATTCAATCAGATTTAAGCTTAAATCAAGAACCAAGCCTCTTCATTTGAGCGTATTTCCTTTTGATTTAAGCTTAAATCTGATTGAATCAAGAGTCCTTTTTCTTGTCAATGTTTTCAACAGTCTGGACTCTAGATCCAATGTGTTTTTTTTTCCAGTGTTCCAAATGATATCCCATTCGACATTTTCATTTTTTTTAGGTACGATGAACAAAGTCGAGGCAATGCCACGGTAGATTCCTGCGAAAAAATGCACGCTAAAATCAATCAGAAGAGCGGTTACCTTCTCCAGCCGTCAATCCTTCGTCCTTAGAGTTAAATCCTGGTGGAGCGATACACTACCGCTCGCATACCGCGACGAGCGGGAAACACAACGTAACACACAAACACAGTGTCCCGAGCGGATCCCACGGGTATCGTTCGATTGGCCGACCGGAATCGGACGACTTTCGCTCCGCCGGCGCACTACAACGACGCGCGGAGCCGATGACCGCAGCCGAGCGTACTCTGCACTCCGCCAAAAGTAGGTTAGCGAGCTCCGGCCACAACAGAAACACGCGCCAAGATCAATTCGCGAACGGCAACGTCCCTAACGGAAACCCGCACTCGAAGTTAGAAAAAGTGCCCTTTGACAGGAAAATACGACCAGTTTTACTTACAAACGGAAACTGGCGGGTTATTAGAGCACACAAAGAAACCTAGGGAGCGAACTTCTGATTGTAGAAAATAGAATCTTTTATCCTTCCGTGCGCCAAATCCGATTCGAAAAAAAATTTTCGGGTTGGGAAACCAATAGTGAGAGCCTCTCAGACAACGTTCCTAACGGTAATCCGCACTCAATGTTAAGAGAGTACCCTTCGATAGGATATACAACCAATTTTATTTACAAAAAAACGGGAACTAGGGGTTATTGGATCACACAGATAAACCAAGTGAAAAGGTTCGACTTTAAACTTCCGATTGGAAAATATTTTTTCGATCCGTACGTCAAATTCGATGAGAAATAAAATTTTAAGGTTTAAAACAACCGGCGAGAGGCTCTCTTCAACCTTTTTGAGGGAGGAAAACCTAACGAACACGTATAACGTGAAACTAAAGCAAATCCTCGTAAAGGTTCAACTTCGAACTTCAAATCACAAAAAACGAACTACGTTAGAGCGAAAATCAGATCAGTACCGTGCGATCAAGTCTTTGACGCTGATAAAACCAACGGCGAGAAGGAAGATTCTACCCTTGGGTTTTTCGGACGCAATAAACAAAAAACACGAACTAGAGGAGGAGTATCCTCGTGGAATTTAGTTAGCAATATCGGAGTAATTTTTACGAAATTTACAGACGAAAGCAGACTTCAGCACTTCAAAACAACTTTATAAATCCCGGATGTTTACGATAGTAAACTCACGTGACCGGACTGAATTTCGAGAGCTGAAAGATTTGGCGCGGTTGAAGTTGCTCGAGTCCGAGAGGAGGACTAAGATAGTTTCAGACAAAAACTGGTGAAACCTGCCACTCACAGTGAAGAATAAAAATCACTAATATTTACAGTAAGGAGCATGCGATACGATTTCGAGCCCGCTGTGCTTGAGCCACCGAAAGCTATCGAAGGTATAAAATCATTTGAGTCACAAAACGTTTACCGCCAAGATAAATCCGAGGGATTTTACTACACAGCGTAATGAATATAAAAACAAATTAGAAATCCCGGCGAGAGTTAGCCGAACCGGTAAAAATAAACACGTTCACTGGATGCTGCACGCAGCGACGCAACCATCACGTAGGGAACCACATTTTCAACTGGAGAAGCGGGAAGAGGGAATGTTTTGTTTTGAGTTTGCGCGACACTAGCGATACCGCGGCGCGGCGAGGAAGCTGGAGAAGAATCACGCGCCGCGATTGCCGCTGCGCTCAAGTTGTAACACATTTACCTGTATTGCCGTGCTATGGAAAAACGCCGTATGAACATTCAATAGTTGCCGAATTTCCGTGTATAAAACAGGTATTTATAAGGAGAGTTATGTACATTTTCTCCTGAAATTTTCGGATAATTTGGATCTCATTACAAAGAAAATTGTCCAAAAAATTGAATGGAGAATGTTCTCGAGAATTCCTGAAAATTCGTATTTAATCAAAGGAAATTTGGCAACTGACAAAGGGTCAAACGGAATAAACGCCGTACGAGCCATCAAACGATGCCATATTTCCCTCGATAAAAAACGAGTCTACAAGAAAAATTCTGAATATTTTTTCTCACTTTTTTCCGGGCAATTTCCTTCATGATTTGACCTGAACCATCTGGAAATTTCGAGGAAAAATATGCATAGTTTTCCTCAAAAATAAATATTGAGTATGGAGGAAGTTGCAGGCAGCAGCAGAATGATCATACGACGTTCTTCCTTATTACGGCAGTATACTGGTGTGCTAAGGAAGAGCGTAATATCAACATTAGGATGTTGCAAAATTTACTCTTAGAAAATTATCATTTATAAAGAAAGTTCTGTAGATATATCCATAAAATGTTCAGATAACTTACATTAAATTGCAAAAGATATTGTCTGAAATTTTGAAGTAAAATGTTCACAACTTGTTTTGAATATTGCTTTTTTATCCGAGGAAATTTGGCAACATTTGAGGGCTCATACGGCATTTTTTCACAGCACGGCAGCATACATAGCGAAGAGAGTGGTAAGTTACAAATTTTCGAAATCGAGTTTGATGCAGAATTTATCTAATGTGAGCGGGATAAAATCAATGGTGCAATTTTAACAGATAAGTTCGTCTTATTAGCAGAATAGCGGGACCAATGAGAAAGCGGCCAGTGCGCAAAAATTGACATTGCTGTATACATAATATTTAAACATGATCGGTATTTAAACACAATTCTTCCCAAGATAAAAAAAAAAAAAACTCGGAATTATATATTGTTTGCCTAAGTTGGCGGGAAAAGGAGGTATAAATCATTTGTACTATATTGTAGCATCAGAGTAATAGTATACCTTATTCCAAAAACCAGGATGCAAAAATTGCAGAACAGCTAAAACTACAAAATGCATACCTCCGCTACGGTGCGCGGTGCTCCAAAATCTCCTATTCTACACTGATATTAATTTCGTAAGATTCAACGTAATCTTTCTAGAAATGGCGTCCTCTCCTCGATATTGAGACGAATTTACCATATCCTTCCTCTTTGTAGCAGGTGGAACGCAAGTGAGCAACTATTCGAACTCCGGAGTAGGTTTGTGGTATCACGCGAAATTGAAGGCACTTTTCATCCAGTGATATACCTCAAAAGCGAGACGACATCGCAAAATTTTTAGCTGCTCTTTAGTTATAAAAAAGATCAAACGATTTTCATCTCATCACGGAAAACACGCAATTTTCGGAGATATTATTCAAGATTCATGAACGTCTGTTCCTTGCTATAGGTGGAAAGCTATGAATATCGTCAATTTCGCTTGATACCACAAACCTACTTCGGGGATCGAGTAGTTGCTCAAACCCAAGAGAGCAACTATTCGAACGCCGGAGTAGGTTTGTGGTATCACTCGTAATTGAAGGCACTTTACAACTGGTTATATACCTCACAAGCGCGGCGACATCGCAAAATTTTTGAGCTGCTCTTTAAGTATAAAAAAGATCAAACAATTTTCACCTCATCGCGGAAAACACGTGATTTTTAAACATATAATGAATGATTCATGAACGTCCGTTTCATGCTGTAGGTGGGAAGCCATGAATATCCTGCAATTTCGCTTGATACCACAAACCTACTTCTGGGATCGAGTAGTTGCTCACTTGGATTACACTTGCTAAAAAGAGAGAAGTGACGGTAAATTCTACTCGGTATCGGAAGAAAAAAGTGATGTTTCCAGCAATTTCATTAAATTTCAGGAAATTACAAGATCCTCATTAGGGTTTTGCGGTATCAAAACAATTCTTCCCGATATTCTAGATAAAACATCAAAAATGATATGTTGATCATATCATTATCGCTAGAAAAAGCTATTTTTTTTTACAAAAATAACAATTTAAGCGTCAATTACCTCGTCAGTGCGGCAACAACGTACATTTTTCATTGGCTCAAACAGTTTTCAAGTCATCACGGAAAACACGCGATTTTTGAGGACATTAAAGCTGACTATTCATAAGCGTCCGTTTCACGATATGGGCTAAGAGTTATGATTTTCCTTCAATTTTGCATGATACCACAAACATACTCCAGAGTTCGAATAGTTGCTCACTTGGGTTCCACATAATACAAAGTGGGAAGTCACGGTAAATTCATCTAAGTATCGGGAAAAGGACGCCATTTCTCCATAGAATACGTCGATTCCTAAAAATTAAAGATCTTCTCATCTCGGCATCGCGGTATCTAAGCGATTATTCTAGAGATTTTACATAAAAATTAAGAATTTACGAGATAACCGCACCGATTTCCTAGGAAAAAGCAATTTTTTGGAATCATGACAAATTACGCGTCGTTTATTTCGACAGCGCGGCAACAACGCAAATTTTTCATTGGCTATAATGGCTTAACAAATGTTCAAACGATTTTCACCGTACGTGGAGCAGAAAACACTCGATTTTTGAAGAGACTTTGGCTGAGTATACATAAGGGTCCGTCTCTTGATATTGGTGAAAAGCTATGATTTCCCTTCAATTTCGCGTGATACCACAAACCTGCACCGGAGTTCGAATAGTTGCTCACTTAGGTTCCACTTCCTAAAAAGAGGGAAGATACGGTAAAGCCATCCCAATATCGATTCCAACGAAAGTTGATCTCCCATCTCGGTATCGCGGAATCTAAGAGAATTTATTCGATATTCGCAGAGATGTCGCGGGAAAAACCTATATTCAAGAGTAATAACAAAACGTGCGTTGTTAACCTCGACAGCGCTACAACTACGTAAATTTTTCATTCTCTCTTCAGGTAATAAAATCAAACGATTTTCAACATTAGGCAGAAAACTCGCGATTTTCGAAGAGATTTTGGCTGAGTATTTATAAGGGTCCGTCTCTTGACATTGATGAAAAGCTATCATTTTCCTTCAATTTCGCGTGATACTACAAACCTGCACCGGAGTTCGAATAGTTGCTCACTTGGGTTCAAAAGTGGGAAGTTACGGTAAAGTCATTTCAATATCGAGAAGAGGACGCCATTTCTCCATCGATTACCTTGATTCCGAAGAAATGATGGTCTCCTAATCTCGGTATCGCGGCATCTAAGCGATTATGTCGACAATTTTACCTAAAAATTATAAGTTTACGCGATAGTTACGCCAATAGCTCGGGGAAAAATCTACTTATTTTAATTCATAACCAATTTTGCGCCGCTTAGCTCGACAGGGCGGAAACATCAACGCGATTTAGAACCAATGTGGTTTTTTTTCCAGTATATCAATTTGAGAAAGATTTTTAAAAAAAGGGTCCGGCGACTGTCAGCTGCAGACGGACAAAACGTGCATTCAATGGAAAGAGAATAATGGAAAAACTATTCGGTACGTACCTAAAGAGGGTTATCCAATCGCCCGACGCCAAGCTGAAAAAAAAGAAGAAAAAAATTAAAAATTATGGGACACTTACGCGGCAAAAACGTAAATTTTTCATTCTCTCTACAGATTAAATAATCGAAGGAATTTTACTTTATCGCTCATAACACGCGATTTTCGAAGCAA